CACCCACTGACCAGTCAGTCATAAGAATCAGCTAGTTTACAGCATCAGATTTGTCTGATGTATCATGCATATGCACTGCAGTCTAAAGTTCACCTGTTTAGAAATGTAACTGCAAACCGCTTGGCACAAGTGTTATGTATGCCATGGATACATGTAATATATGTCAGCATATTACAGAAGAGGGACCTGTAAGGCTGTGGTTCCCAAAGTGGGGGTCGCGCCCAGCTGTTTGGAGGGGGGGGCGCAGTATGAATAAAGAAGGAATGGTTGGACACATAATGGACAGGTTTTTGATGAAGCATGTCTTCACTTCTCATAATGACTAACTACTCCTGAAACTTGGCTCTTATGAAATGAATGTGTTATTTATAATATAGACAGTTTTGGTCTTCCATACAGAGCTTATGAAGGACAGTATGTGGGGCTGTGCTGTAAGGAGACGGGTGGGGTGATCGACTCATGTTCCTCTTCTGCCTCTGCTCTGAGTTTGTTCTCCTCTGCAGCGGCCCAGTTGAGAAAGGTTCCCCCAAAAAAGCCAGACGGAGAGATCAAGCCTTACTCTTTAATGGAGAGAGAAGGTAAACAGTCACATAGTGCCACTTTGCCATAACCAAGTGTTGACATTAAACATTAAGACTCTATTCCAAGTACACGGTCATAAGAAAGCACTTGTTTCCCTTGTCGGTAACACTGATATAAACTGTGGAAATAAACAAAAATGTGCTGGAAAAAAGCTTCCACAAATCCTTTTATGGTAAGTCTGAACATTGAAGAATGGACTGGAGCTGATCTTCCTCTATAGACCAGAACACGTAATACCAATAAAAATCTTATACACTAACTCAGCAAATGCAGAGTAAATTGTAGGTTATAGCATGTTAGCGCTGACACTCAAAAAAGTAATGTATTACACATTACTTGTCTAAAAGTAATGCATTTTGTTACTTAACTTCCTTGTAACTTTGTGTTACTCCTTACCATGGCTTGAACTGCATTGTGATATGATTATGAGTTGAAAATATAAATGTTGGTCTCCAGTCTTACACATAATGATGACTATGGGTAGAAGATGAACCAGCTAAAAGTGCAAATTCAAGAACCTTGAATCTCTGTAAGCTGATATTTGTAGCCAAGGAGCAAGTTTATCATTTTCAAAAGTTTGAAAAATGTTATAAAATTGTTGTTGTTTTTGTTTTGTTTTGTTTTGGGGGGGGTTTAAAGGTGAGCTTTTACCAAGCACACGCCTATAAAATATGATGCTCTCAATTAGTGCTATTAGTATGTACATATTTTTTTCTGTCTAGCTGTTCGCCAGGAGCAGAAGAGTCTTCCTTGGCCGTTTGCTCCTCCCCACTCCCCCCAGCGCTCGGTAGCCTCCCAGTGGTCCAAATCCCTCAGCGTGGGATGCTCCCCCAGCAGGGCACCCCCTCGAGTCACTCCAACTTCTTCCCCTGGTTGCAACAGGAACCAGAGCCCACAGTCACCTCTCAGCGATCGCTGCAGAGCAAGACGCACCAGGTAAGAAGTAACGCACTTCTTTCTGTAAAATTCACCTGCAACTGCATTATGGAAATCTATATTTTACACATCTTAACATCATGTCAAGGTCAGTTACTGCAAATGAAATTTGCCCACAGTTTCAGCCTCAGTAACAAAGAAAAGCTGGATCTGTGAGAAGAAACACTTAGCAGACACTCTGCAAATGTTGTTCCACCTGTGTAGAGGGTGCCCAGTTTAGACGAAGCAGGATTACACCGCTGTCATTCCCACAGTCAGTTGTTTACATGGACCGCCTTTATGTCATCCTAACACTAGCATCTTTTTCTGTCACACGAACCCTGTGCACGCCATCCTTGACTAAATTCATAGACTTCCTCTGAAGTCTTCCTATTTTCCTCCTGCCTAGCGGCTCTATTTTCAACATCCTTTGTCCAGTATGTCCACTGTCCGTCCTCTGAACATGCCCAAATCGTCTCAACCTCTCTAACCTTTTCTCCAATCCGCTCTGATGTACTAATATTTAATCCTGTTCATTCTGGTCTCTGCCAATGAAAATCTTAACATCTTCACCTCTGCCACCTCCAGCTTGGCCAGCTGTTTTTAGGTTAGTCGCGGCTGAGACCATTTCTGATGAGGTTTACATAGATGGTGCAATTAAAAGGCCAAATTCCTCTTTCAGGTTCCAACTTTCAGATGCTGTTCATCTGCTGTAGGTAGTTTTTTAGGCTAGTTTAATAAATGGCCTCAAAAATGCTAATAAATGCTGTTTTATCTGTGAATCTGTTGTTTTATTCACATTTGTCTGTTTTTGTCGGTTCTGTGTCGATACAATGTTATAGGTGCTTTATACATAAATGGGTCATGTATATAATATGAATATAATAAATAAGTGTAAGTGGTATGTTAATAGCACTAATAGTTGTGTAAAGTTATATAAATTGTATGTGTACTCTTGAATGCATGGTTAAAGTGGCCACTAAGACCAGCAGATCATAAAAACTAGTCAGATACTGTTGTTCTGAGTAGAACAAGGTCCAGATCTCTCACTGTAGTGATTAGTGGCTCGAGTTTTCCTGTAATTTGTAATTATTTTGCTGACCGACTCCTTTCATTCTCTCCTTCTTTCTCTTCTCTTTCCCCTTTTTTCGTTACCCATTGTGCTCCATTTATTTTGTCCCTCTGATTGATTCTGGCTCGTCTCTCTGTCATCAATAGTTCCCTTAATAGATCTCAGCTAGGCTTTCATTGACCAGCCTGCTCCTTGCCTTCAAAGGAATGGCTGATGTGTCTTAGCTCAATAAATAGCCTGTTTTTGTCTTATGAATGGGGAGTCTGTTGTTGCTAGAATAGTTATTCAACTCAAATGAGGAGAGAACCAACTCCTTTTGGCCTTCTTGTTATCAGCACGACAGACTGGAACTTGATGGCCGTGTCTTATCTGCTTGACTTTTTTAGAACTCATTAAACAACCTGCCACAAAACTGCTCTTGTGAAATTGCATTTTGTCACACACAGAAAGGATACTTAAACAGGATATTGTAAATTAAGGCTGCGAGTCTTATTTCCATTCTTCTTTTTTGTGTGTTTTATTTCAACAGTATACCATGCATTTTTTCTGTTTGTTATATTTTGAGTTGTGTAATTATGTCATTTCTTTTTTTTCTTTTTTCTTTCTTCCATCCAAACATGTGCCTGTCTTCTCTCCTTTCTCTGCCTTGCTCTCTATCTTATTTGATTTTCTTCTCATCATCCTTGCTGGCTTCTGCTACTTCTCCAGTAGTCAACAGGGTCTAGTTGCGAGATGCAACTTGTACAGTCGACACATGGACACCAGAGCTGTTGGACTGCTGCACAGATGCTCTCCAGGTGAGGTTTTGTAGAGGTGTTGATGGCAGTTAAAAACCACATCATGCTTGGATGTAAATTCATGTCAATTGTACATTAATTTAATCTACATTCTATACAATGTTTATATGAAAACAGTATAAACGCAATAACAACAATAACATTTTCACGCATCCCAAATGTTTTGATGTTGTTAAACGAATGCATAATCTAGCTTAGTGTTAAATCTGTACCTGGCCCAGTGTTTTTGTTGCAGGTATTACATTTTACATTTAAAATTTTGTCAACATTTTTTTATCCAATTTTTTATTATTTTATTTTATTTTTTATTTCAATAAATAGCAAATGTAAATATTTAGCAAATCACTGGTTTCTGTTCTTATTTAGCCAACCTCTCTGGAAATGTGGTTGTGTGACAGGATAATCGTAACTCATCAGCCACTGACTGACAGCCACAAACTCTAATCCAATGCACTCTGATCACGATGTCCAGTATGATACGCTGGATACGCTGGGCAGCATTGCAAAATATTGATTGAAGACTATGGCAGCTAAAAGACTGCTTCAAAGTTTGGACGTACACCTTGATTACTAAATGACTTTTATTTATTCCTTTCTATTGTTTGGGCAAAATGAAACTGAAATGTGTTTCATATATAGTAGATTCATCAGAGAAGTCAGTTTCCTTTGATCACAGGTTTGTACACTGTTGTTACTATGTTCATGTAGTCAACACTTAGAATGTATCCACTTGAGAGGTAATCCTTGTAAGAAAGTTACTGGGTTCTTTAAGTAAAGCAAATTGGCTCTTACGAGAACCACCCCACACTGCAGAGGAGCATGTTCATCACAGTTACTGTGTCCATGAATATGCTAGGGATCACTTGGGTTTAAATTGATCTTAAGCTCTGATTAAAACACTGACCCAGTTGTGGTTGTCAGACATAACACACAACTGGGTTTTGAAGTGTTAGACAGTCTACATGTAAAATGTTTCTTTCATTATTATGAATGTTTGCTCTCAGAGCACTGAGCATTGGGCCACAGTTGTTAAGTCAGCGCAGTCATGTTGTTGCTAAAGCAAAAATGCAGATTATAAGAAATATTCTTTTTATGGAAAACTGTGTTTCATCAATTTCTCATTTTTATTTGTTATTATTCATCTGTTCCCTTTCCTCACATGTTAGCACCATGTGCCACCTCAGGTCTGAGAGCAGTAGGGGATCAGTCATACACATTGGGATACAGTATTCACTCACAACAAAACAGGTATTCACACATTGATCCACCGATTGTTTTAGAGGTTAGCAGGCATTAAAAAAGAAAACGAGGAGGTTTAGTGTGCAGATGTGGGGTTGAAACACCTCAAAATGTTGTCACAATTACAAAAATTCCTAATTGGAATTACATCCCAGCAGACGGATGACTATGATGGACCGTTTCTCTAAAATGCTCGGGACATGTTTTATGCACCAGATATGCAACCACATCTCCAGACTTTCCTATTAGCTTATTGATGTAATATTAAATTCATGGTGACACATGGATTAAATGCTACATCTGATTATTGTTGGCAACACAATAATCAGTATGATGAGGGAAAAAGATCTGAAGACTTTCTGAGCCTCTTCAATTCCTTAATGGACTATAAGAATCTACGCGCAGGCGACCAGAGCTTTCAGCAGCTTTGAGCAAAGTTGTACAGATATGTCACATTGTGGGTGCAGTGTTAAAGTTGTCTTCCTCAAATAACACAATAACAAGAGTAGCTGATGAGACAGTGTGACATATAATCATCATGTGGGTAGCAGAGTGACAGCAGCCCTCACACACAACCATAGATATGAAGAAATCGGATAAGAGCAATGTTCAGTTTCATATCTGCCCTTACTTTTACCTTTTTACCAACTCCCCGTTCACACAGGAACTGGCCTGTCTTGCTTCCACCTCTCTCTACATCCAAGAAGGACTGCATAAGCAGCACTACCTCTTTAGACAGGAGAGCAACACACCTGGGCGCAGATCCTGAATCCCGTCGTTCTGAAGAGGAGATGAAGGTTCTGGACAGTTCACAGCTTCCAGCAGGCAACCAGAGACCTCTGTTGTGGGAGAGTGACAGAGTTGAAGACCGGTCATGGGCTGTGGGGGTGCACTGCTACACTGCCCAGTGGGTGAAGCAGAAGCAGGAATACAGGAGCACCCGGCCCTGGTGAATGTGTGACGATTACAGACTTTAAACATTATCAAAATGTTGATGCCTAAAATGCTTTCAGACATGTTTGAGCCGACTTTTGAGTGTTTGAGAGCCCACGATGCAACAATTTCTTTGTGAAGTTTAAGTGCCAAAGTTCAGTTCAGAAAAAATACACTTCCAGTCTTTCTGGTTTTAGAAAGGCTATTATAATGGCTGCCTTAGTTGGTTTCCCAAACGAGTTCTTCAGCTGTCAACTAGCTCATCTTTTCTAGTCAACTGCAACTGGATAAGATGAACTAAATGTGGAGCAGTTTTCCGTTGAAGTCAGACTGGCTGCATCCTTGCTAATTGAATAATTGGCCCATTAAGTCAGTGGTGTTACTGGCAAGACAGGTCCAGCTAACTCAGGTAGGTTTTTCATTTTAGTAGCCTTCGCACTGAGCGTTGTTAGGTTCACTTATTTTGTTGTATAAATTGGAGGGAAACAAAGGTTACTAACGTGATCTTGGTTCATACTGACTTTTGTATTTAATTAATTAACAAAATGAATCCAATGGAATTTATTTGAATATGTCATCGTCCATTTTCTTGTATTACTTGGACAGATTGGATAGGATAATAGCATGATCCACTTTCAGTTGATCACATTTGGGTTGTTGCATTTTTTAGCAAATATTTAAAGAGTGATACAGTAGGCTACTCTTAATTTTCCATTTCTGTTTTGCACATGTGTAACAGCTACATGCAGCCACAGACTGTAACATAACGACATGATGTACACACAGGTTACTTGCTTCAATGTACCCTGGCATTGATTTTCCAAGTCTCTGGAAAGATGGATCTGTATCAGTCTTCCAAAAGATTTGATGGTTATGGAGTTGAGTGTGTAACACATCAATCCAAATTCTCCCCTGTTTGACTGGGTTCAGATGTGGTGACAGGGTAGATAGTACATCAGACCATGTGTACTTATGAGATTCCCTCAGGGTAATGTGTGTCAGGCAGTATTTAAAATGATAACTCATAACCCATGTTGGTGTTTTTCAGATCTTGCAAGTAAGAAAATAAATCCTTAAACATGCAAACACAGTCTGTAGACTGCGCTGGGTGCTAATGGTACAGGTCATCCACAAGTGCAAAGCACAGAAATAGACAATTAGTCATTTTTAATATTTGTTCAAAAATCAAACAATTAAAAAAGAACAGAAACTGTGTATTTGTGGAGAAGTCAAGCAAAACATTTTGATTTATTTTGGACTTAAAGAAGTCTCCCATGGACAGAGCTTCCTGCAACTTTCCACTAACCGGAGTTTCATTAAATAATGGAAATGTTTGTGAGACAAAACATATATTTTTAGGTTTTTCAGACAGAATTGAAAACAAATTGGGTAGAAAGTTTACACATTTTTGCTGTAATGTAAACTTTAGTTAGAATGGTCCATAAAGCCAAACGATAGATCCTTATTTTGTCATTTTTACACTTCCATGAACTTTAGTATTCCAACAGTCAGAATGGGCTTAAACCCTAATGCCAAAACCTGTTACCTGGGTTTAACTGAACTTATAACTTCTCTGTTTGGTTGTTTTTTGTTGTCTTGTTTTGTTTTAGTTGAGTCAGTCTGCTTTGGAGTTCATACTTAAAAGAAGCAGAATCTGGGATTTATATGTGTCACTTAGTCTTTTCTGAATAAATTAAGCCAAATGAGAAAAAGCTAGAATTCATATCATACATTGTGTTTGAACAATGCTTCCAAACCCGGGGTAGAGGCGCAGTATGATCATTCATACAGTATCAGCAGATGGAAGACACAGAATTACTGGAATGTACACAGTGGAAACTGCCAGAGGAAGACAAGGCGGGAATGTTAACAGGACTGTTTTCTTTTTAAACAATTCCCCACTGGTCCCGTGAATTCCTGGATTTGTTTGAGGTACTTTTTTAGATGAACCATCTTCAAAATCCAGAGGGAGAGGGCCATTTTTTACCTTGTTACTTAAGGAAGATCATTAAAGCTAAGAGGCCCCTGGCATTGACTCACATTAGTGCTGCTATTTCACTGGCACTGACGACTTCATGTCACAGAATTCACAGAAACATCCTTTCTATGCTGTACAATATAAAAAAACCTTATTACTTGGCACCTGTAAACACTAAAAGTAAACTGAATGTAGTTATTCTGCTCGATGGATCAGCGTCTCTCTGGTCAGCAATTTGTTTAACAGCGACGTCCACTGTAGCTGCAAGGAATAAACCCAGGTAACTACAATCGGATATATGACTTTTGGGACACAATAATCCCAAGAGATTTCACCTGCATCTCATAGTCATTAAGATCACCATAATTACCCTCCATTGGATACCTTGGATCACCCAGGAGAAGCTGGACTGGGTGTTTTCACACCAACAGTGTTTATTCTGTTTAAATCGAACCCTGCTTCACGTCCTCCTTTGTGCAGTTCGTTTATGCAGATGTGAGCACGGTGATCGCAAAACAACTGAACTCCAGAGCGTTTCATTTACAGGTGTAAGTTTGAGCTAAAAGCCTGCTGGCTGCGCATGCTTTGCAGAGTACACCACCAGGAGTGGAGCCTAGCTGTAAAATTAATGTATATTATCCATGTTGTCCACTTGGTCAAAACCCACAACCTAATGTTACTTTTGTTGCTGCTCTCCCAGACACATCTGCCCAATAAGCGGACTAAACATTCTCACATAGTTTATGGTGACACAATGCAGCTCGTTCTCACCAACTAATTCAGGGCAGAATAAACGAACTAACACATGAAAAGAGCCTCAAATTAAATCAACAAAATTTGAAAAACATGGCAACCTGATCAACTCAACGTAAAGGATTAGAAAATGATTTTAACCCAGAAGGCGTCACGGCTAGAAGAGGATCTTGGTATAAAAATGCAGTCAGCAAACAGTTTTTGCAGACTGTGTGCAGCATCACAGCACCTCACATATATCCCATGATACTGATGAGTAGTGTTGGTTATAAAGACTGTTCTGATAAACAAAAATCTGATTCCCTTTGGAGCGGGTGTAACGCTGAGTTGTTTGCAGAGCTTAAATAGTTTTTCAGACTTTTTGTATATCTCGTGTATTCGCTACGAGGACTCAAAAGTGTGATTTAAAAAACACAATATTTCGACCCTCTTGCACTGCACACTAAGGCACAGGCTTATGAACTACTGGCTTTGTTTGTGTCTTATAGACAATGTGTGGGGACACTTTGCTTGAATGGCTGCAGCCACTGCAGTAACATAAAACTGACTGGAACTTAAATACCAATTACTTCATAACTGGGTTGATGCCGTTCTCCTCACCTCTTTAATGTGCTTGGTGTGCAGAGGATAGTAGAAAACATATTTGTTCTGTCCAGCTAAATACAAGTTAAAGAAATGTTCCAGCACACCACAACAAACTGTGAGAGGAAGGTGGAGGAAACCTAAAACATACAAACTCAATACAGAAACCTCAACTGGGATTCAAACGAAGAACCTCTTTGCTACAAGGCAGGAATAGGAGGAATACAAAGAACATTAAAGACTAAAGCAACTCAAATTTCCTAAAGGCATGAAGTTATTTAAGTCACCAGTCAGTTTATTCAGGTTTCTCACCGTTGCTTTCTGAATATCTCACACTCTGACCTTTCAAGCAAAGAGCTCATTGTTGCTGAACTTGTTTTTCCCCTTTCATGCAGCAGAGGAAACTCTGAGAGTGAGATCTGCTCTCAGCGAAATGTTTGCCTTATGTGTGGAGGTTTTCTGTTAGAGCCAAATGTAGCTGCTTCTTAAAAACTAGTAACAAGTGGTAAAGTGAAAATCTTGGACTCAAAAATTGTGTTGGTACAGTATATTAGTATATACACTTACTGGCCACTTTGTATAGCTTGCTGGTATCAGGATGATTGTTCTGAAGGATGAAGCCTTCAGAACTGTCTTACTTCTCCATGGTACAGGGGGCTGAACAATAATAAGATCTTTATCTGTCTTGATAAGTTTGTCAAGATTCTTTCCATTTGGAATAATATGAAACTAAAGTAAAATGCTGTTTTCAGATTTTAAATGGTAAATGGCCTGTGTTTATATAGCGCTTTACTAGTCCCTAAGGACCCCAAAGCGCTTTACACATCCAGTCACGCACACATTCACACACTGGTGATGGCAGCTACATGTAGCCACAGCCACCCTGGGGCGCACTGACAGAGGCGAGGCTGCCGGACACTGGCACCACCGGGCCCTCTGACCACCACCTGTAGGCAACGGGTGAAATGTCTTGCCCAAGGACACAACGACCAAGACTGTCCAAGCCGGGGCTCGAACCGGCAACCTTCCGATTACAAGGCGAACTCCTAACTCTTGAGCCACGATTAGAGAAGTCTCCTCTTAAATTTTGTGATTTTTTTTTAAACAAGTTAAAATGTCGCACTTGTTGGCGATGCCATCGGTGTAAAAAGACAACCTCACTGTAGCGGTTCAAGTTTAGCACTTCATTATTTTGTATGACGGACAGAAGCTCGCTGGCCGTTTCCAACTGTTTTCAGTCTTAATCCTAAAGTAAGCCAAACCGAATCCCAGCATTGTAACATCACAAACATCTCAGTGAAAACACAATTCCCCAAGTTTTAATTGCAGTAACCAATATTTCTATTTACAGTGTCCAACTATTATTAACATTTGAGCTACGACGTCAGGGAGTGTGTGTGTCGGGGGGGGGGGGGTTAAACTTTGTACACAGCAGCTTTTATAATTTACAGTTTGAAGGAAGTTGAGCCATTCCAGAAACCACCAAGCCACCATTCCTTCTCCTGAGTCCAAGTGTGGGGAATCTATTCAGCCTCGTGGAGTAAGGCGAGGTAGACGTCAGACTGGAGGAAGCGTGGGTAACAGTCTGTGTCCAGAAGTGAGTAGATGCGTTTCTGCGCGTGGGACAGAGAGCTACGAGAGGGAGCCTGCAGCAGCTGGATCGTCAGGTCTCTGGTCGTACTGTCCAGATTTACCTGCAATAGGACACAGTGATGGTGCAATAGCCACATAAAGTCAATTCAAATACTATATGGAAAGACAAGCCAAAAAATAAATAGATAAAAATCGGCATCAAAATCGAGTTTGACTTAAGACTATTTGTTTTCTCCTCAGCCTCGATTACCAGGTAGCACAATAATGAGTGCTGTATCATCAACATTGTTCCAGTAGAGACGGTTTGGAATAACTTGAGGTTACTGAAGGAAAACCAGCCAACAAATGCTCAAAGTCTCCAGGTGAAGAGTTCATGAAGATGGTGGAAAGAATGAGGAGCATGCAAAGCTGATAATGAACAAAGTTCCCTTAAACAGATAATTATTAGCATGCGTCTGTGACAAAGAAATGTATAGAACTTGTGCAAGCTTTACAGATAACCTCACATCCTCAGAATTCCTTCTGCAGCTTTACATCTGCCAAGATCAGCGAGTGTCACAGTACAACAGTGCATGATTTCGGTGTGTGAATACTCCCAGAACAGAGGAGCACTTTCCGAATTATGTTGACATGGCACTGTGATCGTGTTTGTTTTATTCATTTTTCCACCTCAGAATTGAGCTTCAGTACAGACTTGATGCGTTTGGGTTTTCCAAATCTGCTGCTAGCACATGTTAACTTACAAGATTTCATTCATAGTTATGAACACAAAAGGAAGCTGCTTTGTAGCTTATGCTCCTTTTACTTTGTCAACACTGTTTCTTTGTTCTTCAGCGTAGAAATGTCCAAATTTTTGACGATATGGTGGGCTACAACTTCTTGGGCTTTGCAGATAACCTTTATCTTGTAGTGGTTCGGTGTTAAATCATGTCATTTAGGTCCTCCTACTTTTTCAGTGAGTATTCTTGGAGCTCGCCAACATAAAGCACAGTTTGATTCCTGGACGGTCGTCTTTCCGTTAATAAACTTTAATAAGTGCAGTTCTCTTCTTCCTGGCTTAAAAACCTTCAACTAGACAGAAAAGATCGCTTTGTTAAAGTTCCAGTGCTAATGCTAAATTAATGGCATCCCCTGAATCACATCAAAAGTCATACTGTTCACACTCATACTGACATTTTACTTTTGGACTTTACCTACTGTGCACCTTGCTATAGCTGCAGTATAAGACAGGAGCTGGACTCCTGGGAAACAAGGGACCTACTGGAGAAGCAAATGAATTTTTTTTTTCTCCACAGTATTTGGTCCTTTAAGTTCAGCTACTGTCACACATATAATCTCATGCTGTGGGGAAATGCCTCTATTAGTGGAAGAAAACAAAACAAAAAAACAACAGCTCCACATGAATGCAGCTATTGATGGAACGCTATAACGCCAAATCTGAACCACCCACACAAGCTTCTTGATAACACAGAGAGACTCTGAGCAGTAAAACAGTTGGCAATGCAGAAAGAGGAAAAAATAAACAGGACTTGAATTACAATTCCTGTTCCAAGAAGACAGGCTGCCCAGTGCAACCAGTAAGACTGAGTATGAACATGTGTACCTCCCGGGGGGCTCCTGGCTGGATATAGGTTGCGCAGATGTCTTTGGCTCTCCTTTGCAGGCTGAAGTTGGTGGACGAATGTTTGTACCGCTCACAGGCTTGATAGAACTGCAGGTTCTCCTCGCTGAACTCAGAGCGCAGGAATGCTCCAAATACTGAAACACCAGCTGCCAGGAAGAGGACGACAAGTGAGCCTTAGCACAACATCAATTTATGTATCTTATAGCACAGAACACAGAAACACTTTATCATGCCTGAAAGGAAGACTAGAGAAAGCAACCGAGCTCTACTCTTTTTCCATGTGAACGTCCTACTGAAGGTTAGAAATGTCATGAACATACCACATGATCTCTTTGATTTCTGGCACGGTCAAATGTGATGTCTTGTTATTCCTCCCTACCATCGAGAGGATCGTACCACTTATACAAACTCATTAACTGCTAGATGGGGTTTATAATGGCTTCTAAACAGCTGTTCACCTTTCCCCCCCTTTGCATTTAAAGACAACAGATAAACTAGTTAAATGCAGGATCTGGGTCTGCTGCTAAGAGCCACTGGATTTCTTTCATTCGCAGCTCCAGCTAGAACAACGGCTTTATACTTATTAACATTTTTCCATTACAACCTAAAAATGGTAATAATACCTTTACATTTATAATAAATGGTGAACATGACCACTGACTGAGTCCCTTGTGGTCATTTGCTATGACGTGCACTAAGACTAGAGTTCTGTTATTGTCAGGAGTCAACTTTTTATTTTATTCTTTTCAACATTTAATTGTTAATTATGGTAAAATATTAATTATAAACAATGACTGTGGTGAGTCAATTTGAAGTAATAGTGTTCAACTTTGAACAAGCTGGGGGACACGGAGGAGACGTTTTAAAAGCAAGATGATAATCTGACATTTAGACATTTTTGTGATGCAACCTGACATCATCTCCTTTCTTTTAATCACAGCAGGACTCAGACTGCATGGATCAGTTATGTTAGCTTTGCCGGTTTTATTTTTAATTTAAGAAATTCTATATTGCAGTGTTTTGTTTGTTTGTTTGTTTGTTTGTGTGTGTGTGGGGGGGGCTTTGTCAACAAAGCTTGATTTTTCTGATAGCATGCTCACATTTGATCTGCCTGAATAGGCTTTGCAAAGAACTTATCCAGTTACCACAAACGTTCTCCTTTAGAAGTAGTATGCTGGTCACATTACTGGCACAACCTTCCTTTGTATAATGTACACAAAGACATCGCCCAAGGCTGAAACCCTGAATAATTTAGTCATGTCTATAATTTTGTCAGACTGGGTAGTGCACATGATGACGAGGAAACTGACGTGACAAGAAAAACAAATGAATGGAAACATTCTGTGGCATTCAGAATATGCTGTAAATGCATCGGTGTTATCAAAGGGCTTCATCGGGACATGCCCTGCTTTTCTTGAATGGGTGAAAACGATAGACGACACCAGCACAAAGCATACTACCAAGAAACAGGATTCAGGAGCCTGTACACGCTTCCCCTTCACGCACCGTTAAACCCAGAACCCTTGTTAATATCAAGGAAGTCAAACATTCTCAAGCCTTTACACAGACTTTGAAACAGCTGTGATTTATAACCGTCTTGGTGTTTACCATCTATTCTATTCATAGAAGCAGCAGGGGTAGGGTAAGTGCTGCACTTTTAGCAGCACAGAGGGGTCACTGACGTCAGACCAGATGTCGACATCGATTCAGCTTAAAAACTTGAGAAACATGTGATTTTTTTTGTTGCGCAAACATGTCTTCAAGGCAGAAGTTGTGAGACACTGAAATGTCACAGGATAGGATTCAGGTCAGAATCTCACAAACAGTAAGGACATTAAAGTAAATGACCTTTTACACTCAAGTGCAAAAGCTAAAGTATCTTTCTCAGTGTCAGGTTATCCTGCTGCAATTTGAAGTATATAAAGAAAATACTTTATTGTATTTCTTTGAATCTGAACACAATTCTTTTATTTTTCCAGAGTTTACATTATTAGTACCTGTTAAACAAGAATGCAATAAATGGCAACTCCCACAGCTGCGCCGTCATCCTGAAAATGATTACTGCAAGGGTTCAATTGTGAATGACGGAAAACAAATCACCTTTGTGATCCAGGGAAGCAGTGGATTATTTAATTTAAGCAAAGTGTAATCTCTGATATGTAAATGAAGTAACAGGAGTATTGCTGGTGTCCTCAAACCAAGCAGCCCCCATAAAAGAAAAAAGAATGGATATAACAATCAAAACTGTTATTTCTCCAAAATACAGGCACTCCAAGTAGGTTTGGAGGAATAATAAAGCGGCTTTATTTTTAATTCACTCGTACGTGTCTTTCTATGCTGTTAACCATGAAATGAAAATGACACAGTGGTTTCATGAGGTGTTGTAGATGATTAAATTAAAGGGTCATTTTAGCACATTGTTAGGTGGTTGCTAGGCAACATGACAACATAATTATGTTTAATTCAGCCTTTGTGGATATAAATGAAAAGTTATTGTCATGACATTAGGATGCTTTTGCGAGGCGTCACAAGTCATAAAAGCCAATTGCTAGATGGTTGCTAAGTAACATGGTGACATATCTGACACAGAAAAATCTCCAGCAGACTAAAATGTACCTGTGTGTAAAGTTTGGTTGCTCATTTGCCAACGAGCAGGTGGCCTTTTATTACTTTTCCCAATCCTACCTGGAATCTCTGATCCATTTTGCTTTAACCGTATTATTTGCTGTGTGTTCTTTCCTTCCCAAATCCTCTGTATTCTCCCAAATCCAATCATTACCTTATATAGAGTCTAAAAACATAGCAAAGAAAAAAAACTAAATTAACACCATAATGTTAAGTTACACAGCTCTTAATGAAAGAAATGCAAGTTGAAAATCGGTTTTCGTCATGTCGTGTGCGTAATTCAAGGTCACAGGAAATTAAAATAGCCAGGCCTTTAAGGGCTGGATTCAAAGTCACACCAAAAATTTAATATTCTTCAAGTGTTCCCTTAACTTTAACTATAACTTCGGGGGGGGTGTCTAGGGCAGCGGTCCCCAACCCCCGGGCTGTGAGTTGTTTGGTACCGGGCAGCGAGAGTCAAGGCTCGGGTGAGAAATCTATGGTTTTCAGGTTTTTTTATCCTTAACTCAGTTTCCTGGGTCTTTTCCCGTGTTGTAGTTGTGTTTCTTGGTTCTTATTTTGAAAGAAATATTTACACGTTACCATAGCAACCAGAGAGCATTAAGGGGCAGAGAGAGGGATGTTACTCTCAATGTTGTTGGCGCATTTCAGGACGACGCTGCTAATAAAGTTGCACAATTACACAGTGACTTCGTGTTTATTATTATTATATTTAGAAAACACCACAGTTTGTGTCTTGGTCGTATCATTTTATTTTGTTGTATTTTTCCACTACGGTCCGTGAAAACATTGTCTGACATTAAACTGGTCCGTGGGCGTCGACTCTAACTTGTAGTGGAACTAAAAATGTCACGTCCGTCCTCAAGTAAGACGTGCAGCACAAGTTATGGAGAAAGCAAACATGCACGACGACCGTCAGTGTCCTATCAGGGCGATCTGACTTGAATGTCTCCCCAGTGCAAGAGTGATGTGCAAGTCTGACAGCAGGGCCAAAAGAAAGATCTGCAGGTCACCAAGAATTTGGGGATTCAACCTCTGGAGTATAAATGAAACTCTGGTGACCATTCAGCGGGCGAGATTTCCCCCAACACTTCTTTTCCCACTGGGAATTCTTTTTCATTGGCTACTCCAGCATTTCCTCTTTCCCGCACTGCCAAAATTATTTTCATTAATTTCTGACATCAGATATCCTTCTAACGACTTTCCTCAGTGTCCTTCAGTCTGTCTGTCACACCTGATCAACAACTTGTCCCTAATGATTTTTCCATGTATTAACTTTAAGAGTTCATCTTCTCTCTGCTGGCTCTACTCCAACAGTGTATAGACTCCAGAGGATTTTACCCGACTCCAGTCTTCATTTTAAATGCATAACCTCCTGGTTTGCTTTC